AGATAGATATATTTTTCTTCTATCTATCTATCCATCCATCTATCTATCTACCTGTCTATCTGCCTAGCTGTCTATCTGTCTATCTGCCTATTGGACTAGGCTATCTGTTCTATGTACCCTTCTTTCTTCCGTCTATCTGTTTACCTGACTATCTGACGGTTTATCTGTTTATCTATCCGTCTGTCTGCCTGCCTGCCTGTCTGTCTGTCTGTCTGTCTGAAACGAGAAGTGGAAGGTGACAGGTCCACATCAAAAACGAAGAAATTCTGCGAGACTTCTTCAATGTTTGGCATTGACAACGTCAAAAACGAAGCAATTCTGCGAGACTTCCTTCAAAAATGGAAAGTTACGTTGAGTGCAGAGCCAACGGCCTCGTACCATTGCGTTTTGCAATTTTTCCACTGCATCTGTCTAAAGTACTGCGCCTGCCACGAAAAAGTGAAGCCAGGTCATACGAAGTGCTGCACCTGTCACACGAAGTAATCTTAGCAAGCCTGAAGATCTGATGCTCCAAAATGTAACCCGTTTCAAGAAATCAGCGCCCTGACCTCCTAACATTTCTGATGAACGTGTCTCTTGTACTACGCCTGCCACACTAAATGCATCTTTCCAGACCTTCTTCAAACGTCCCAAGCCTGGCATCGTTTTTGCAATTGCTACAAAACCCTCGCGTTTTACTCACTTTTGGCAAGGTAGAGAATGCCTGCCCCGCAAAACCACATCCTAACTTCGAAAAGTGGTCCGAGACCGTCAGTTTCTCACACTTTTGTTTCTCAAACATCTCAACTTCCAAAAGTGGCAAATGTGCCTCGCGCCACAACGGCGTGTAATGTTCTCTCATCCGGCCAGATGTCTGCGCACCCGCCGCTTTAGCGAGCCTACTTTTTCTACAGCACCTTGCTCTTCTTTCTATATTGACTCTTTCTCTTCTGACTCTTTCTCTTCTGACTTTTTCTCTCCCCTGACTGCTCTGACAACTGTTGCTGCATCTGTCCATAAGTCGGAAGTTTGACTTCTAAACTTCCTTCGATGAAAACAGCATTTGGATGCATGTGGGGTTTGACAAAGGTCACCCCGTTTTTTCGGCTCATACGTACCCAATTCTGACCCAAAAACGCAATGGCGGGGTATGCCCATCAGAGGCAATCAGCTTCCAAAACAAAGGTTGTCAATCATTTTGAGCCTAATGGTCAGATAATCTACACACCTATTTTGTGTATATTCAAAATGATCTGATCAGATCTACATATTTAGATGATCTACACAGTTATTCCATTTTATTCCAGACATTTTGGCCTTCTTGGTCACGTCTTGGTGGCCCTACCGGTAGATCTCCCAGCAAAGAATCCAGTGACACCCAAGAGGTTCATCTATACCAACTGGTGATCAAACACCGGCGTCTTGGAAAAACAAAATGTGTTTAAATCCAAATATGTATACATATACGGATATATATATATATTCATATGTAGTTATATGTATATCAATAATGTGGCAAAGCCAACATTGAACCATCTCAGTCTCCAATTTTGGGAGAATCATTCTACAATATTCTACATCATCCCAAATGCAGCTTTCGGGGTATATCCGAGGCCCAGACTTTAATAGCTTGCCGCGTGCCTTTCGTCTTGGATGTCTTGGATGATGGGGCAAAACAAGGTCAATATGGATGTGGGTCAAAATGGAAGACCGATGTGGGACCACAGATGTGAATGTCTAGTTTAGTATTAACCATCCATAATTATTGGGGTACCTAATTTTGACCCATACCCATATGCTTCAAACACATTTCCAGACTTTTTCGGGGGATCGATGCAGGTGCGGATATGGATGGATATGGGGTATACTCTCCATGTTTCATGTGGTCATCTCAAATAGGAAATGAAGACAAACATGATGGGACACTTCGGGTATACGACATTTTCAGAGGAACCCATACGGGTACGTCCCAGACATAGGGAATGTTACGTTTTCCCCATGTTTGAATATATAATTCTAATCATGTCTTATCGGAAAAATGATGACCAAGGATTGGATTTTGGGGCACTCTTTGTTCAAAGAAACCCCAACTGGGCACCCCAACTTGGTGATATGTTTGGTCCTAAATTGGCTGGATCATGTTTCAACCATGTTCGGATCTCATGTTGAGTTGTCTTTTTTGATATTTTTTGCATCTTCTTGCCAGGTCGCCCGAAGTGTTCAAAGGTCGTTCAACCCATATTTTTTTCACCCTTTAAAGAAATCAAAAGGTCCATGTCCTCCACAGTTGCAAGAAAATCCTCTGCTACTTATATAAACCTGGCACTGGAGACCCCAATGATCGGAAAATCATCCTCCTACCCTCCGTATTTTCATACGTGGCAATGGAAATTTAAGCGTCAATGTCTGGATGTTTTTTCCCACTAAAACCACCAGTCAAAAAGGGGATTACCAGAGGGTAGATCTCAATGATCAAGGATCTTCCAGCTATTGGTCATCGAGAGTTGCTGCTTTCTCTTTGGAGCTTTTTTCCACACCCTGGCACCTTCTCCAGATGACCAGGAGCACTGGCCGGGCTCGCAGGCAAGGAGGGCGGATTGGGATTTTCGATCTCGCCCCAGCAGAGTCCTGGAGATGGGAGGACTAATGTTGAAATTGGATTGGATCGAGATTTTCACATTAATATGTTCATCTATTTGGCGTAGAGTATCGTGTACTTACATGTATATATATATATATTATAATGGCAATTACTATAGATATTATGTATATATATATATATCATTATATCATAATGTATGTATATATTCTGTAGATATCAATGAGGTATAATTGATGAGGTTGTCAAATAAAAACGTTGTAAAGCAGTCGTAGTCCCTACACAACTGAGCGAGGTGAGGTGGCACTTGCTGCTGGTGCTCGCACAAAGGGCCGGTAAGATACCATAAGATACCCAGATCTCACCAGCTTCATCAATGCAAGTATGGCGATTCTTTGGTATCTTATGCTGTCATGATACTATAGCCTACTATAACTATATTATATTATCATTCCTCTGAACAGATATGATACCATCAGATACTCAATGCTGGCTTTTTAAGCAAGCCCGGGGAGGGCATTGATGTGTTGGAGGAAAGCTTCTCATATTTCCAGGCACCAAGAAAAACAAAGAGTTAGTTGCAATCATCTTGCAAATCCCCAGTTGAGAATGGCTCAAAATAGAAAATACCACAGTGAATGATAAGAAATAGATGCTAAATGGATGATAATTTGCGATAAATGGATTAAAAAAAGGGATGAACATGGATGATAACGGATGGTTAAATCCTGAAACTCCAATTTGGCAGGTCCATTGCCACTCCCTATGTTTGACCCATTCCCTTGTGACGTCAGCTTTGTTCCCCCGCGCCGGTGCAACTGAGCCGGGCACGGGCTTCGAAGTGGCCCTGCGGAGAAGGTGTGGACTTCGAACCGCCCTTGGGCCTGGCACCGGATGAGCCTGGGGTACTGGAGATGGAACTGAGAACCCAGAAAAAAAGAGAGAAACATCCTGGGTTCCACTAGAAATTGTACTGGAAAATCCTCGTCCCCATTTTCCAAGCTGGTCTTGACGTTTGGGAGATTGGGTTCCACTACTTTCAAGGCAGACACACGACTTCCTCTGGAAGTCGTGGGTCAAAATGTCCCAAGATGGACAAAAATGGGACCGGTCCGAAAATTACGGAAACTAACACATTCCATCCACTCATCATCTGTGCTGGCAAAACATGATACATGGTGAACATGGCCATCCATCCCACAATGGAAATCCTTAGCGGCTTTAGAAATCCCTATGAAGCATATATATATATTATGTATATATATATATATAGATATATTATATATATATATAATGGGTTGGTTGCCATCCCCCAATATTGGTATATCATCCGAGATCTGGCCATGGCACATGTAAAACATGAATTCTATCCACACAATGACTCACCAAAGTCTGCGCTGCTAAGAATGCTATGACAAGCTCGAAGTCTACCCTTCACAAAAGTACCCTCTGGTAATGACTAACATAGCTATTGAAAATGACCATTTATAGTGGATTTTCCCATTAAAAATGGTGATGTTCCATAGTTATGTTAGTTTACCAGAGGGTAAACCGAAGTGATTCACCAAAATCTTAGAGTTTCTGTGGTTTTCCGTTGTTGCAGATTACATACATATGTTCAGTATTTACATCTATTTACGACCTAAATAAATTCAAACCTGGAACACACATTTACCTGAGTTTATGTATTACATACATTGTTGTTTAGTATAAAAAAACAAACATTTGCTTTCAAAAGTTTTTGATCAACCAACCTAAATATTCCTAAATATGTTTTCAAATGTTTCCAACGTTGGATCCGCCTGCCATAGCCACCAGTGCATATCTCACCGGGTCGATTCATGGCGTCGCCGTTTTTTGCCAGGCCGTGGTGGTGAATCACGCCCTGGAGGTGGCACGCAATGTGTCCAAAGGAGCCTTGGGTTAATATAACATTGTACATATGATATTGTATAGATATAGTATATATATTATATATACATATATCATATTAATTCATATTATATTATAATATATTGTATGTATTTGATGAGCCATAGCCTGCTCGATTCGATTCGATCTCTGGGAGACAAGAGCAGCAGCTTTTTGAGCCAAAATGTGCAACGAATATCAACCCGAGTCCCTCGGGAACAAGTTCCAGAGCCACATTGGCTTTGAGGTTCAAGGCCCTGGCATTTGTGATGCTCAGGCCACAAGAACTACAACACTCAGAAATCTCTCCATTAAACAGGAAAATGGTGATTTTACCACTATAAATGGTGATTTAATGGTTAACAATGGTGAATAATGGGATGGCTTGAAACGACTAAAAACTCTCAAACATTCTCAACCCGGGTCAACCCTCCTATACTCCTACTGTATGTTTCCAATCCATTGGTTTCCGGCACAACAAAAAAAAACAAAACATCGTTTCCGGCCCAGCCTCCCTGCTTGTCAACCTCAATGTCTCGATAGTTGTTGGCATGGAGGATTGCCACGACCTGGTCCCCAGCGCTTACCTGGCTTACCTCTCGTGCTTTCTTCAAGGGAATAATGAGTGGAATCCTCCAATTCATCCATTTAATCCTCTCAAAGTAAACTAGATGTTGAAACCTATATTAAAAATGTCCTCCAAATGTTAGTCTTTAAGACTCAAAGTCGGGTACTTTTCCATGCTACAGTATCAAACCCTCCAAAAGTGAGTTTTGAACCATATCGAACTCTCCAAACTTGGTTGTTTTCCATTTTTAGTAGCATTTTAGTAACATGTCCACAACAAAACCATGGGGGTGCTCGGTCTTTTTCTATCTCATCATGGCGCATGACTCCTGGCTTTCTGAGTCCAGGGCATATAGGGCGGCGGGCAGCGTTAAAATCAGGGCTTCCAGCCTGATGAGATCGTTGTTGGTGTGTATCTATATGTAAATATGTATATTTGATATATAATTATATACATATACTTGGGGTATATATATATATAATTAATATATATGGTAGTATATACATATAAATATATATATATATTACTGATGATGATGATGATGATGACGACGATGATGATGATGATGATGATGAAAGTCACCCAGCCAGAACAGCCAGAACAGCCGCATCTGAGGTCCTGGCCGTATGGTCCCGATCAAGACAGCTGAACTGTAGCAGATGACGCCGGGACCGAAGCAGATCAGGACCTGCCGGGACCGGTGCTGGGCTGGGGGCCCCCAAGGGGAACGCAGGAGCTCAATGGACTTCGGAATATCAGGGCGCAACAAAGATTCAGAAAAGTACAGGGCTACTAAAATTCTAGTTGACTGATTAATTACGTCTATATTTCATAAATATATATATACATATATATATATATATTAATATTATATATAATATAATATAATATAATATATATATATATATTGTGTGTATATTATATATTGTGTATATATTATATATTGTGTATATTATATATCATATGATGTTTTATCTTTTGGGGTGCTATACTAGCCCAGTCGGATCGACTTGTCCTTGGGAGACACCAGGTTTTTTGGTTTCCAAGTCACCCCAATTCACCATGGTTGTTTCAAGTCTAGACTGGTCGTTCATGACGACTGGATGATTTGGGGTACCCCCATGACTTAGGGAACCTTAGGGAACCTCCATATTGGTACCTGGTACTCTTTTTTACGTACCCCTCAAACAAACATAGCCTTCTGTTTTGTGCTTTTTGTTGGGGGTACCCTTATTTGGACGTAAGTGGGCAATACCCACATATTAAATGACCCAGTTATATGTCACGGGGGATGTACCCCAAAATACAGGGCTCATTGGCTGCTTACTAATTGGGGTTCCCTGAAAGTAGGATACCAAACAATCATCAAACATCTACTGAATCTACTGGTTGATCATGAGATCATAAGTTTCCCATTTCCCCTCTGGATGTTTTCCGAGATGTTTGGGTCCATCCGTCCATCCTCCATGTTACTTCTGAGCTTTCCACCGTCAGATCTGCCAGGCCCAAATACTTCAAGGGCGCAGGGCCCGCTGTGTACCCCACAGCCTTGAGCAGTGTTTCATCCAGGAATGGCCCCACTGCACAGCAGACATGGCTTGGATTTAGATTCTTTAGACCATAGCTGCAGGAATGAATTATATCTTCATCCCACCTGATAAATGGGAATTGACCAGCAAATAAGTGAGGAAGAAAAATTTGATACCTTTTTTGCCAACAGTAAATGGTGATATCACCTATCAATAGTTAGGTATCAAGCCAACAATTGAAAAACCCGTCCCTGCATTTGGAGTTTTATTGTTGGGGTGACTGCATGATGCCCAGCCCCCAACAAATTGCTTTCTGTACTCTCTTTTCGGCCTCATTTCCAGTCAGGGTGGCAATTTAAACTGCTTGAAACTTGAAGAACTTCCAACTTCCAACCCCACCAAGTGGAAGTGGTACAACTCTTTGTCCTCTTTGTACAACTCTCTGTACTCCTCCAGAAAATGCGTCATGTTCTCCCCGCAGGGTCTGCAGGTTCTCTGATACGACTCAAAATCAAAGCGGGGGGCTGTCTGGAGCACTCTGGCCGCCAAAGTCGAACCCCAGAAGCTGTGGCTGTCCAAATCGCCGGCCGGGCTTCACCTGGTGCGACTGGAAAACCCGTTGAGGCCACGGGATTCGTCGCTGTCATGGTGCTTCGCCACAACGTCCATCGCAGCAAACAGAGGATCAATCAACTTTGAAATATAACTGCAACGGGCGGCCCACATATCCCCAGCTTTATGTGGGGGAAATGGAGACATTCTGGAAGAGCAGACGTTGCTCCTCCGGCATAATACTGCATTCCTTCGAAACAGCACCTATAGTCATGTATTCTCGCTTTTTAGCCTGGTATTGATGAGGATGGAATGATCCTTTGGAGGTCTTCAGGTCTCGGCAGTACCAAAGGTCATGAAGCGTCGTGTTTGGGCAGTTGCGCTTTCACAAACTCCGAAACCACGGGGATGTCCTCAACTGTACCGACGTACAGATTGTAGAAGACCATGCTCTTCTCAGCGTCTTCCCGATGCGAAGCCGCCGGCATGTCCTGTTTCTGTCGTTCAGAACTGCTTTGGAGCATCCCAGTTGCATCGCAATCGAGAGACAGAACTGGCATCACAAGCGCAAGCACCTGGACAATCAAACATTGGCAATGCATTTTTGTCAAAAGCCGCCCAAGAATACGTACAATCGAATTTGAGCCTGGAGCCTTAATGCCAAAGACATCAAAGACTGAAAAACGAGACATGAAAACTAAATCTACATTATAGATTTACACATATATTATATTACATATAATCTGGTAATGTAAAATGGTCCCTTTTTAAACATGACGAGGTCCTCCTTGGCGTTCAACGGGTGATCCTCGGGATCAGCGCCGATACGGACACGCTGAGCTGCAGACCAACAGGGTGCCAGTCGTCGCCCATCCAAGAACTGGCGGTCATCCCATGGGAATCCATATCTGGTAGCGAAAATCACCAGGTTTAATAGGTAAATCATAACATAATTAATATATAATATATATAATATAAAATAATATAATACAATACAATACAATATAATATAATATAATATTACACACATATTATATATATAATATCATATATTATGTGTATATATATATTTACATGTATATGTACATATATTATGTGTATGTATATATATATAGGTATAATGGACCATTTTCCATAGCTATGTTAAATAACCGGAGGGTTATTAAGTGTGTATGAATGGATGGTTTGTTCCACCCAAAACTGCCATTTGGGGGTCTACCGCGGTCTACCCTATTCTCAGACACACCCAGATATCATGTGGTTAAAACATCAGAAGTGTTCCAGGGGAACATGCTTGCAACATCGGCTGATAGAAGTTTCATCACTTTCTGGTGCCAAATTGGACGTGTGTTCAGAGACTTAAAGCATGTTGAACTGGCTCTGCAATGGTTCTTCAACCCGGATGACTCTGAAGCGAGGATCATGTTCTGGACAATATCCTGTGGCAATAACATGTAATAACTAACCAGTTGATGTATAGATAGACAGAAACACAGACAGACAGGATAGGATAGATAGGATAGATAGATTTCATATCACAATCAACATCACCCAACGGTTGGCCCAACGGTAACTATGGTAACTCACTCAACTATCCCTCGTTAGGCTACGATACCCCGCTTTCGGTTACCTGTGCTGCTGAAGTCAGTCGCTACAAGCGACCAGCAGAAGAAGGCCAACCTCAGCAGCTTGAGCACCGGAACCCCCAAACGCTTCGATTTTGACTGCTCAAAAACGCTTCAAATCCATATAAATCGCGATAGTTGATTCCCCAGATCAACGGTTGATTCACGGTAGCTTCGTGTTATATCTCTGAAAAAACTGTTTTACTTCGTTGAAGTTGATCATATCTGACATCTCTAGTCTGTTCGCTTCGTTGAAGTTGATATCTGACATAATCATACATAATCCATGTTTGATGTGGAAGATCTCCCATCCCCCAGGGCGATTCAACACCCAGAAACCCTGGTGGCCAGTGGCATTCCCATCCCCGCTGCGATTTGGGCGCCCCTGCCAGAATCCTAGACAAAGGCCGCCCAACGCCTGGTCGGTCGATCGCAAAAAAAAAGGGACGAGCTGGCAGGAAACCCTGTTTTTTTTCATGGTAAATTCCTCAAAAGATCAAAATGATCAAGAAATTCCTCTAAACCAATATTGTAAACTTGTTTTACCAAACAGATCGGTGTTCGGCCGACTTCTCCAAGTGATACTCGGCATCAAGGGTATCCAGACACCTGGATCATCCCACGAATCGTAACTGCTCAGTAACTCTGTTTGCGTAAGAAGTTCACCATTTTTTTCATGTTTGGGGTGGGCCTAAAAAACCGTGGTTCCCTAACGGGCCTGCCTTGAGAGTGGTCATCGACACCAAACCTCGCTTGCGGAATAGTTGCCAATGTTTTTTCATAAGCTTTTTGAGGCTGGAAAATGTGCTGGGTAAAACGCACATTTCAAGGTTGGAATTGGTCAAAATGAGGTGTTGATTGTTTGTTTTTTCAGTCCAGCAAAACACAAACCAAGTCTGGTGTTTGTTTCCGTTGCGTGTCCGTACTTACACTGGATGAAAACTGAAGGGAATTATTCCAGGTTGTCTATCATGGGTACAAACCCTACCCTGCTGTGAACAGATCGTCTTCATGCTTGCAGTTTTGACCTTCAGCCGTGTTTCAGCCAATGACAAAGCTTGCTGTTCAGGTTGGTGGCCTATTAAATTGCATCTAACCCAAACAAAAAAATGATATTCCGGAATTCCTATGAAATGTCCCATCCCCCCAATATTTAGCACCCCCCAGAAACCATGGTTTAACAGCCGACTTACACATGTCTAGGACCATTTGGGGGGGGTTGAAAGTTATGGGGATCATATCCTCTCCATCAGTGGTTGACTATCCAATGTTGCTCAGTGTTTAGCCACATTATCCATTGGATATCCAGGTTGATTGGATATCACTGGATATCACATTATCCATTGCATAGTCAACCAATGTTCTCTATATCCACTATATCCAGCGGTTGATTCTCCACCATTCCATCAATGTTTCCTCAGCTTCCTCACCACCACTCAAACCCCGCGAAAAACGCCGCCGGAGTCGCCGTCGACCAGCGTGCGGTCTCCAGCAGTCTCGGACTTGTCGATGCCCTTTTTGAAATCCATGTACCTTTCTCGGTTGAAAACAGTGGATTTTGCCACAAAATTGGGAATTGAAGCAACCAAAAATATCCAAAAATAATAGTTGTTTTGCTCCCATGAAATCGCAACATCTTTCTCTCCAACATGCACGACTGGCGAAGCTGAGCTGCGAGTTGACCAAGTTGGCAGCTGCTTGGATGGCAATCAAGGCGATCAGCAGAGCGAAGACCGTCTGGGCACGGCGATCAGTTGACCCTGGAGATCTTTAGGGATGACACCTGCTTGACATAAAGATATCCATTGTTTCTGCATATCCCATAACATATCCCTGTCCTTATTGAGATGTTCTGTTTGAAAATGAGGATCTATAACAGAACAACAATATTGGGATATGTTATAGGGATACTTAAAATGGTGATATCTGATTGGGATACTTTACGATGTTAAAATTGCGACAGGTTTCAAAACTCTTACCATGAATGTACATTTTCTGGAGAAAAACCAGTGGTATTACATATCTTAATTTGACGGAGGATAATTATAACTCTTAGTGAGCTTTGAAAATGGAGCTGCACAATGTTATCGAACCTTTAAAAAAATGTAGACTTGACAGAACAGTCAAAATCGGTATTTGGCCTGCAAACTGGCTATGGGATATGCATTCGATTAGAGTAATCAACCGAATGTCGGGATTTTGAAAAACACAAATGGTGTGATGATTTTTGGGGGGCGGATGAGTCCAAACTGGGTATTCACCAACAAAGCGTGATATTGATCGTCTTTGTTAAAAAAAGGATAATCGGATAATCGCATGATTACATGTTTTTTCTACTATAGTTGTTCCACCCTTTACTGGAAGATCATTGGGATACCCTCTGGTAAACTAACATATAATATATAGCTATTGAAAATGGCCATAGAAATAGTGAGTTTTCCCATGAAAAATGGTGGATCTTTCCATAGTTATGTTGGGTAATTCCACAATTCTTGGGATCTTCCGTCTTCGCAACTCCCATCCGCAGATCCCCGATCGGATCGATCCATGGCCGTCCCGAGGCCACCGTATAGCCCGGCAGCGCTTCATGCAGCACGGAGCGTAGGGTGGCCAGCAGCACCAGCTGTGGACCCAGGATGGCCGGGAAGGTCCAGGGCCTGGAGATTGGCGAAAAATACGAAAAAGATGGACATATCAATGGATTGGTTTAAGGGAAAATTTACAGGAAACCCCCATATTTAATGGTAAAAACCATGGTTTCCTGAAATGGAACTAAGAGACTACCCTCTGGTTATGACTAACAGTTCGCCATGGAAAGATCCACCATTTTTAAGTTCGGTAAACCATCTATTTCTATGGGCCATCTATACCATGGCTATCTTAAATAACCAGATAGACTAAGTCATCTCTGGTTTCTCCGGTAAATGATGACAAGCCATTTCACCAGCCACGACTCGTGTTCTTTTCGAGAAGTTTTTTTAAGCCTTCAAGGGTTGAATTTCAAAAACAGACTGACGTTTGACCCATCCAATCTAGTGATGCTTCAAGAGAGAAAGTAAGATCCTTTTGAAATAGGAATCTTGGTACAACCCAAAAACCTGGACTCAGAACTTTTGGGCATTTGCTCATCCAACAGATCCAACCTCAGTTTCCCTATCATTTGATGGCCATATGTGCCATGGTCAAAAGACGTTATTCTTGTTTTATGGGCATCCATCCCATGATGGGAATCCAAACATAGTGGGTCTATAAATCCCTGTGAATGGATTGATGACAAGCATTAATCGTACGCACCTTTGATAGGGAATCCATCCATTGGTTATATGGCACGTAAGTATATATGCATATTCATAAGTACAGTCATGAAGTTGGATTGTATAGCAATATTCCGTTGATTCTTTGACATTAAGTTGGATTAATATGATATACTTGGAACAGTTTGATTTTGTATCAAAATTATAATCTAAGGATTAACTATCCTGATTATATACGAATATTCCGATATGATATTGCATTGATTCTGTATCAGCAAAATGGATAAAAATTGATTGAGATGGCTTAAGATTCCAATATCCATTGGATGAAATGGATTCTAAGTTATGTATATATATATATACTGTAATCATTCCCAGTCATTCATAGGGATTCTATACCTTTAAAGTGGTTTAACCAATATCAATTCGAACCTTTTCACCGGCACCCAGCCGTGTGGCTCAGAAAATCTGTCGGCCTCAGGGCAGTGATCAAGCCCTCGAGGAAAGAGGGCGCACCGCCCAGGTCCTGTCAAACCATCATTTCATCAGGATTTACAGATGGTTAATAATAGATGGTTAATATATATATATATGAAAACCCAACTAATTAGATGATTGATGGTTAATACCCTCTGGTAAACTAACAGTTTCTGCTTGGTGGTTTCTGAAAAATATGAACGTCAGTTGGGATTATTATTCCCAATATATGGAAAAATAAAAAATGTTCCAAACCACCAACCAGGTTTGCTATGGAAAAATCACCATTTCGACAGCTAAATCGTTCATAAATAAGCAAGTTTCAATAGCTACATTAGTCATTACCGGAGGCTTCCCTTCAACAAACTTTTTTTAAACGTAGACGTGGAAAAGCCATACAGAAACCGCAAAATCGTGCACAAATGGTTGAGTTTACCTCGGGGGACAATCGAAGATTGTAATTGGCTGGGTCAAACTTATGCACATGATAGCGTAAAAAACTATCACCAAAAAACGACAAGAATCATGGCTAATCTTAGATGGATACCTGGAAAAATGTAAATAGTTAGCTGCTTAGGTTCGTATTTCATCGTAGTTATCCAGATAAAAATTGCAAAAGATCAGAGTTTTCGAAGTACCCATCCAAGGACCCAGATATTGACCCACGAAGCACACAGCTGGTGGATTTCAGGATTTCTGTAATCGTCCAATATTGCTACTACAGCGGACAGAACAGCTGGACAGAACAGCTACAATGATCCGCTCTTCATGGTCGATGACGACCAAACAACTCGGACTTGCTATCCCCTCTACTCTCTGCCACATGTCCATCTGAACAATCACTCGCCTGGGACTCGTATTTGGCCAGCTGCTGCAGAATGGTGAGAGCACCCACAATAGACACGTTCTTCAAGATGTGCACCGTTCGATTGCGCTTCTCGGGTGAACATCGGATGTCCCAAAAGGGATGGGGATCCAGGTTCCAGTACAAGGTGCCCTGCCTGTTGATCCACCACGTCCATGTAATGGTGGCCATGAAGACCAGCATCATGGAGGTGCCTGGATGAGGATGCTTGCCAGCTGATGTTACACTGATGGTTTTATGTGTGTTTTATGCCTGTCTATATGAAAAAACTAGTGTCTTATAATATATATATATATATACACATATACATATATATGATGTAGGTAAACTGATGTAAACTGTATGCAATTATTCCCAATGGACCAAGAAATGGCGGCTCATTGTCACTAAGGCCGGACCCACAATCGGACTGGTTCATCCCCCTAAAAATGGTATTAATAGGTATTGATCCATACCCATTTGAACTCCATGTTCCTATGCCGAAATCCCCATGGTATCCCTACCGGACCCAGCTGCCCGCCTTTGGTCAGTGCCGTGCGTCCCGCTGTATCGAAGCCCGAGACCAGGACGAAGATCGCTCCAAAGAGGCCGAAGATGATGTGGACCAGGTGCAAACTCACGGCGAACTCCTAAGAATGATCAAATCATTGTTTAATATATTGGGCCAGTCGTTTTTCAATGGATTTTTTTTGGGGGGTCTAAAATTGGGAAGATTATGGTGATGATATGGTCTTGATAATGGTGATTTGATGGTGATTTTTTTGGATTGTTTCATGGTATTTCTGTGGTGATTTCATGGGGATTTAACTTAAACCAACATGGGATTCGTGTCATGGGAAAACTACCGTCCAACCAGTAGTGATAACTGTTACATAGCTATTGAAAATGGTCCATGTATAGTTGGCTTACCTGTTCAAAATGGCTGCCATTGCTATTTTAGTTTGCCAGAGGGTATAACCCAGATCTGGTGGTCGTTGGTTATTTCTTAGTGTTTGAAAGCGTTTGTATGGAAATTTAGGACTGAGATTTTGATTATTGCTTGTTATTGGATAAGTTGTATGATTGTTATATCGGTTTTGATTTTGTTGTCATGGTCATCATGATTGCTATTGTTGTCACTATATATTCATATACATATATATATATATGTATTGCTATATATTGTCATTGTACTGATTACTGAATACTGTTATTACTAGTCTTATTGTTATTTTTATTAAAATTGTTATTTCTGATGAAATGATGATGACGACGATGTCATATCTATGTATTTAAAATACTAGATTCTAGATAAAATACTAGATTCTAGATGTTCACCCAGAACATATACCCTCTGGTAAACTAACATAGCTATGGAAAATCACCATTTTTGATGGGTAATTCCACTATAAATGGCCATTTTCAATAGCTATGTTAGTCATTACCAGAGGGTAGGGTTTGACGGTTTGACCCACAAAATGTTGTGATGTTCCCATTCGCTCGATTACAACAAGAAGAACCTGATTTCAACCAGTGATTTTCCCATGAATTTGCCATTTATATTAGTTATTTTCTCATGTCTTCACCTATAAATGAACACACCCTCCGGTAATCATGGCCATTGAACATCCCCCATTTATAGATGAATTTCCCAGCTACAAAACTACATCTATAGGGAATGTCCAGCTCACGTTTCATTACCAGAAGGTAGAACTTCTCGAAAATAGAAATAATTGTCTATAATATGTATGTATATATATATATATGGTCCAGATTAGTTGTACAGAAATCTTGTTCCTCCTGTCTTGAACGTTGTCCCATTTGACGTTAACGCTTCAGCTGCAAGGATCCGAAGCGACTGACCGAGCCTCGTAGAATTTATGTAATTCAGACTATGTACAATATTAAATTAAATAAAATAAATTAAATAAAGATATATAAAGGCTATGTGTTGTAAGACTATACACTATAATCTATATATATATATTAATATGTTATGGTATGTAAAGAAAATCCGTGGACCCAAAAGTATAACTCAGTATAATTGTATATAAACAGGATAGTAAAAACAGTATAGTAACTATAGAGTATGACTGTTGCTGTACAACCAACAAGAATGGGGGTAGTGACAGTGAAACATTGACGAATACCAACATAAACTCTAAAAAACCCTCAAAAGTCGGAAAAATCGGCAAATAGGAGTGGAATCTTCAACATAGAACTGAATTGAGTAGCTTCGGAGTGCACCTAAGCGATGGACAAATTATTTCCACTATACTTAGCCTTTGGGTCCCATTGGGTTTTGTCTCCGTGGCATTCAACTGATCGATTTTGAAGTACAAAAAAGTTTGACATTTGACATGGAAAATTTGGCACCGCAATTTGATGGTCGACGATCATTGTCCCTACAAAAAAAGGGCGATTTTGGGAATCCCCCATTTTGAGGACCCATCTTCTTGGGTTTGGTATGCCACCAGCTAGGCCGGCTAGGCACATATGGGAGTGGCGCAACTGCAGGGAGCACCATCTGGTCCACTTCAAACTCGAAGTGGATGGCGTGCAAGACATTCTCCACAATGAAGATCCCGACAAATGCAAATCTTGCCAGAAAGTCCTGACCAGATCTCCCAGTTGAGATCCCAGGGATTCCCCATGTCATACTTTCGTACGCTGCTCATCAAACATGGCTAGCTGTGGAATCCCCCCGAACCATTTGTGGAGCTTTGCAGCTGGGAAAGTCATCGATTCATGATGGATTTTCCATCGGCATGTTTGATTACCGGAGAGTGGTCAGACCGTTGGCCCAACGCCGTTGGCGGAAGAACAACAGCTGGGTTGCTATCCACTCAGTACTGATCAACATGGTCACATGAGAATCATAGCACTGTCAGCGCAAGCCGTACATGCGGCGTGGGGCTTGGAGAGACCAATGCTACTCTGTCCATGGAACAAAGTCGAAAGATATATTCCATGGTCAAGTTATATACATGCGATTAGTGGGGTATGCTCATCTCACTATTATCAGGGATTCCAAGAACTATGGGTATATTAATTCGCGTGGGAACCCAATGATAAACCTACCATTTAGGGATGGTTTATAGCACCCATAAACGTGGTGATTTCGTGGGTGGATGACCCCTTCCGTGTTTTTGGAAATTTGTCCCACCATCTGCTGTGGGTTAAAGTCCAAGATCCACGATGAAAAAGAATAACCAAACAGCTTGAAACCATGAGACACCCAATTTGGAGCCACATTAGTCGCCCTACAAATGTCTTGCTGTGGCGTTTGCCTACCTGCCTCTGATTGTTGCAGTCTCTCCGCTTTTTGGGGGGCATAGAGGCCTTGTGATCTGCCATATCAATCCATATCATGTCACCATGTATATTGGTGATACCAATATTTCAGGTCTGGATTTTCACCCAATAGTACAATCTATTTTTTCGTAGGTGAAACTCGAGAGACTCGAGACTCGCCAAAACATCATCAGGCACCCTGGTTGTAGCTCAGATCCCAAATCTATCAATGTTTTTCATGGTTTTTGAAGACCCCATGGTTGTTGCTACAAAGATTGTCTAGCATAAAAAACACGTGCAATTCGAATCATCTTCAATTGACCAATCAATTGGATTATTGGCTACATACCCATAGTATATTATATAACCCCATAGATTTCTATTGGATTAATATATATCCCCATTAATTGATTTATATATATATAGACCATCTGACCATTCATTATTATATCCCCATAGATGCTTAAATCGACCATATAAATCTTGGTTCCATTAAAATGTCCCTGTTTTTCACTGCCATAAAAAACACCTAGGTCAATGATTATAAAATTATAAATGGTACCCATTTGGGTAAACAAACATAGATGTGAAAAACCCACCATTTATAGGTCATGGACACCATAGGTTTTGCACATCCATGTGGCAGTGTGTCAAAACCTTGTACCCCTGGTGAACATCAAAATAGGTGGTAAATGGATGTTCATCCCCCTAAAAATGGTATTAATAGGTATTGATCCATACCCATGTCAAAAAACCGCAGCATCGCGCCTTGGCGACACGGTTCCGCAGCAATGAGGCCGCGACATCCTTGGTCGCTTCGGGTCGCGCGCGAACGGCGCCAGCGCTGCCGCGCTCCTGGTGATGGGAGTCCTGGTGGATCTGGATAAACTAGCAGTGATTAAGGCTAGTTCTATAACATTCTCTAACTTGTGAAACTCTTGTTCTTTCGGGAAATGATCTATGAATTTAGTGGTTTTTCCAGATTTTCCATATATATATATATATATATCTATATATATATCTTCTGTTGCCCCCCCAGTTATGTTTGTTGGTGTGTTTGAACCCCCCTGATAACTCGTTTGAGATATCGTAAAGCCAACAAGTATACCCACCTTTATGCAATGGCAAAAAAAACTATTGTAGTTAGTTTGGTTGATCATTTCCGTTCATTTACCTATTGGTTGCTTAAAATCGTTTTACACAGATCAACTAAGGAATGGCAAAAAGATACAGTAGCTTGGAAAAAAACGTTGAGGTTAGGATCCCTGAATTGATTGGAAAGTGAGGGCCCTGTTCTTATGATTTTGGCCATATTCAGGGTTGAGAAGCACCTGGCAAACCTGGCAAAATTGGCAAAATGATCAAAATCACTTAGCTCTCACCTGATATTTTCAGTGATCTTTATCAACAGCCAGAACTTCAGGAAATAGCAAAGCTGAATGGTCTACCATTCAGGAATGATTACTATACCAGGAAACAATTGATCACAGTGAATCCGACTTCTTTATCCTATGGTGGGTCCAGAATGATCAAAACATGGTCAAAACCCTGTACCCTAAGCCTCAGAATGGGTCGAAATTGGGGGAAGTTGGAAAATAAAAAATTGACTCGTGCCTCGTCCAAATAATCCGAACAATTTGAAGGTCCCAAAATGTCACAAATCCGTAACTCCTCCATATGATTCCTATTCTCTGGAATCAAAACATCCCTTAAATAGTTCCAAAAAATCGTCCAGTTTTGATCGGCGATTGAAATGTCAATCACAATCCCCAAAACAATCATCCCCAAGTAATGTCATAAGCCATCCCAAATCACCATAAAGATAGGTGGTATGTTTACCATTCCCAGTCATGGCTGGGGTAAACATGGCATTGTTTTACCCTCTGGTAATGACTAACAGTTTGCTATTGAAAATGACCATTTATAATGGATTTACCCATTAAAAATGGTGATTTTCCATAGTCATGCTAGCTTACCAGAGGGTACCCACAATCAGAATCCTACCCTCACAGTGAGGACCCAGAAATCCCCTGCTGGGTCCTCTGCTGCAGCAGGCGAGTCTGCGCGCCGCTTTGCACTGGGACGCTGACGCATTGGGTGCAAGTTGGGACCGAGAGTTTCTCAGGCGAAGTGGAAGTAGGAACTGAGTGTTTTTTACCACAAGTGGAGTGTTGACTCTGTGGACAAGCAAATTTGGAAATTCACACAGAAAAAACTGGAGATTTCACAAGAGGAATGGGAGATCTCGTCAAGAATTTTGGATATGTCATCAAGAAAAGCGGGAGAACCCATCCAAATCACGATCTGAGCCAAAACCACTCAACGGGATGTCGCCAAAAATTGCTGGCCCATCTTCTGGAAAATCCGGGAACCTGACCACGGACTGCCGAAAGCATTGATTATCTGATTTCTGGCTCGCCAAATGGCAAGTCCTCGCTGTAGCTACAGAGTGAGGCAATCTGTACATCAACTCCGAAGCTGCCTTGGAAAACAGACATTTGCTGCACCCAAGTTGAGCCCAGATGGCCTTTCTGCACTTCCAGAAGCAGCAAAACCCAACATCTTTGTCTCCAAGAGTGTAAGACCATAGTAAACCCCAAATCTGTTGGTGGGAAACGGCTCCTGAAAGAAGTTTTGAGTGTCAAGAAGGAGAAACAATGCAGAATAACAGCCAACCAGTCTGCTTCTTCCACCATTTGTCCAGCGTCTAGCTCAAGCCAAAACCTTGGTGGGGTTTTTCGAAAAAACACCACCTAACCAGCTGGGGACGACCAGTTGTACCTAACAACTGTGACTTTCGGAAGGAAAAACCGCAGTTCGGAGATCAGGACTGCCAGGACAGGCCCTCTCGGTTGAGTTGAATCCCCAGGATACCCAGAGCTATGCTCTAAAATATGTCCATGAAAACTGGAACAGATATATATATATATATAGTTTCATGAAAAATGGATGAGCAGAGGGAAATAAGGGTACTCCAATAGATCATGATCTGTTCCCCATAGGAGTGAGATCCTGGGAACGGTCCAGCTGCAGTTGCTCTGGACTTACTTCATATGTCTGTATGTGTACTTATGGTTCATAAACACATATAATATCTATATATATATATGAAGTAAGTCCATGTATAGCATATATATATATGGTTTATACATATATAGATATATATATATATAGAGATATGAAGTAAGCAAGTATGTATATATATATATATGAAGTAAGTGTGTATATATATATATGTTATATATATGCCATATCTGGGCTGAATTATCAATAATAGCATAATTCACTCACCTGAAAATAGCTGTTTTCATACGGCCCTTGGGTTATGGTTCCCCTTACAATGACAATCATTCCACACGCGTCATGACGTGAGGTCAGTGTGAGACTGCCCGTGTGGGTGTGTCTGTGTTCGATATAGGATATGCCACAATCATATGACATACAAATACAATAACAATATACATATACATATACATATACATATTACATATTACATATTACATATTACATATTACATATTACATATTACATATTACATATACATATACATATATACATGTGTGATCATTTATATACTCGTATCTACACGTCTATCAACTTCAGGAATCATCCCAGTACTAGTGCAGCAGAGCAACGTTTCTTAACGTTTTCCTTATTTTTCTTTTTCTTATCCTCCTGAAGCCGTCACTTCATTAGATCAGGCATCTTGTGAGTCTGTTTTTCAGATACCACCAGATCTATTTTTCAAAGTAGAAATGAAGCTTGGCTGCTTCCCCTCCAGGGAACTAACATAGCTACGAAAAAAAAAATGTTTCTATTCACTGATGATTTACTGTACCTATTAGACATGGTGATGTCCATGACAAACTGTTAGTTTGCCATAAGGTATATGAGTTGAATCCATGAATCAAGCCATTGAAAAATCGTTTTTCAGAAATGACCAGTCCGTGGGTGCGAAATGGTCGTCATCTCGAGCCAGGTTGATTTCCAGGTTGCAAATCATGTTTCGGGGGCCCAACATAGTCATCCTGGAGTAGTTAGAACATGAAAATTTCAAGAACACATTGCAAAAATGGGAATGTGATTGAAAATTTCATAGTTTATCTACTCCAGGTTGATTACGTATTGTAATTTGCAGAATATCCACAATTACCCTCTGGCAATTTGTTACAGTTCGCTATTGAAAATGATCATTTAGTTCGTTGATTTACCTATTATAAATGGTGGATCTTTCCATAGTTATGTGAAAGAAAACCAGAGGGTAATGATGGTTAATGATGGTTAATGAGTGTTAATGATGGTGAATGACTGTTAATGATGGTTCATGATGGTTAAATTACTGTATTCCATGAAATAGCACAAAGATCCATGTTTGCAGATTTCCAGGGTCTATCTCCGTTGTTGGCTAATTTCAAGAGCAATGCTCTATTGGCTTCCTGGAATCGGTACGGTTGGGCCCAAAGCTGACCCAGGTACGGGTACGTATTTACGGTACGGTGGTGCGGTACATGGTACGGTATTGCGGTACATGGTACGGTACACGCTACGATTGTGGTGCGTATTTTTGGTCCGGTGGTGTGGCTCATGGTACGGTATTATGGTGCGTGGTACGATACGTGGTACGGTTGTGGTAAGTATGTTTTGCACGGTGGTGTGGTACGTGCACGGTATTGTGGTACAGTACATGGTACTAAGACCCCTAATGGAAGATATTCTCACTTCAGGCACTTAACGAGCTTATAAATATCTGATAATTTGTTATTATCCTGCTAATATATTGTTTAAATTGTTGTTTTAAAATTATTTTGCGTTAAGTTCCACTTATTTTTTTGAATTTAGGACATAATAATGAAGATATAATCAAATAAAGTCGAATATTAGTCAAAAATATCTGAAAATATGTGAAAATATTTGAAAATATCTGGACATACGTTTCTTGCAAGCACAAGGTGCTCCAAACTTACTCTCACCAAATGATCTAAGGTGAAAATGATTGCTGCCCAGGAATAGTTGGAAAAATAGATACCTCAAAAATATGGTTCCTGTAAAAGGAAACTGCCAATAAAGGAGAATTCCTGAAACTGAAAGTTCCCGTAAAGGATGGTTTCTGTAAAGGATGCTTCCTGTAAAAAAAAGGAAAGTTCCTGTAAAGGATGTTTCCTGTAAAAGAAAGTTACAGTAAATGAAAGTTCCTGTAAAGGATGTTTCCTATAAATCGAAGGTCTGCGCCAAGGTACTTTCTCGTTTGTGGTCTTGCTCAGGTCAAGTGTCTGTCTCAAGGATCCCCATTGAAACACGATGGACAACGAAAGACGATGAAGAGAAAAAAACGAGCAAAAGGGTTTCAAGGGTTCCTCTACGGGACCTCCGGGGAGAAAAAATAAAAATAAAAAAACAAAAAAAATAAGACGGGCACATACCATTGAGAAAAACACATAGCATGTTTTATGCATATTTGCAATGTTCGGTCGCAAGTGTTCTTCCCCGGGGTATGGGTTTGTCTCCGGGATTTTGTTTTATTTTATCTTATTTTGGCAGCCTTGAGCGCGAACCTTCACTGTGGGAAAACTTGAGAAATCCTTCGAATATGGGAAAGTTTTCCAGGAATACGGTTGGGAAACCAGGACCTTTGAGGAGGGGAAAAAGAAAGCACCTTTGATACAGGGAGGAGGGTTGAGACAGGCACATACCATTGAGAAGGTAAAAAACCCTTCATCCAGACTTTTGAATAAAGGAAAGTCCCGGCAAAGGGGATGGAACTACCTGAATGTAAATGCCGCGTAGTGGTCCCAAAACGGAGCCCACTTTAAGCCAATTTATCTTGAATAAAGGAGAGTTTCTGAAAATTCGGGTTCTTGAGAAGGGCAACTCAAACTTGAGAAAATTAAGAAAAGTCAAAATTCAGAAAAAACAGAAAATAAAAAAAACATCAGAATCCAAAAAAACATAAATTCCAAAAAAAAATAGAATCCAGAAAATTTAGAAATTTCAAAATCCAGAAGATTCAGAAAATCAAAAAAATAGAATCCAGAAACTTTAGAAAAGCAAAAAAAACAGAATCCAGAAAATTCAGAAAATCTAAAAGAAATGCAGACACTTCAGAAAATTCAAAATTCAGAAAATTTAGAAAACCACAGCAAAATAGAATCTGAAAAAATTAGAAAATTCAGAATCCAGAAAAATCCCAAAAATTTAAGAAAATAGAATCCAGAAATTTTAGAAAACCACAGGAAAAACAGAATCTAGAAAAAAAAAATCAAAATCCAGAAAATTCAGGAAAAAAAATCCAGAAAATTTATAAAAGGAAAAAAATAGAATCCACATTTTTTTGAAAATTAAAAAATTCAAAAAATCAAGAAAATTGAGAATTCAGAAAATTCAGAAAATACAGAATTATGAATATATATAATATATATATATATTCAAATATATACAATTCATAAAATTCAGAAAATTCAGAATTCAGAAAAAAAACATATTTAAAAAAAAAAACATAGAATCCAGAAAATTTACAGTAGAAAATCCAAAGAAAAAATCCAGAAAATTCAGAAAAACCTGAAAAAGTAGAATCCAGAAAATTTTGACAACCAAAAAAATTAGAATCCAGAACATTTAAAAACCAGAAAAACAATATAATCTAGAACAATTAGAAAATTCAGAATCCAGAAAATTTAGAAAATCAAAAAAAAAAAGGATCCAGAAAATTCGTAAAATTCAAAAAAAAAGATCCAGAAAATTTAGAAAATCCACAAAAGTTAGAATCCAGAAAATTTATATATAAAGTAAAGAATAAATTTAAAAAATAGACTCCAAAAAATTCAGAATCCAGAAAACGCAGAAAAAAAATAGACTTCAGAAACTGTTGAAAATCCAAAAGAAAATAGAATCCAGAAAATTTTTGAAAACCGCTAAAAAAATAGAATCTAGAAAAAAATGAACAATCAGAATCCAGAAAAATCAGAAAATACGAAAAAAAAACAATAGAATCCAGAAACTTTAGATAACTTACAAATCCAAATAATTACAAAATTTAGATAATTTAGAATTCAGTAAATTTAGAATTTTAAAAAAGGAAAACATATTCCTCTGAGGAAACCACATTCACGTGAAAGATTCATTGCAGAAACGTTCCATTTCAGGAACTATACATCCTTTTCAGGGATTATTGCTTCAACATCTTGAGTTTCAAAAATGTTTTTTGTTATTTTTGATATGTTCTCATTATTCCAACAGATTTTACTTCGCAATCATTACAAGCAGCTATGAGAGAATCTATAATGTGACTCGTAGCCATACTTTAGCAGCTAGTCTCTGCTGAACCCCTGCTTCTTTCTTTGCAATGGCTCCCAAGGCAAAGGATATAGTTCCTGAAAAGGATGGTTCCTGAATGGGAAAATATCCTGAAAAGGATCATATATGCTAAAAAAACTTGAAAACCTTCCCAAATCTTTTTACTTTTTTTTCTTATAGTCAATCGTTGTTTCTTCAATATGTAAAAAACAAATCCTTCGTATTATCAGTTCTGAGCCTTTGAAAGTATCAAAAAAATAAGTTAAAATAAGTGAAAAGAAATAAAAATAAGTTCTATGATAAGCTCAAATAAGTACTAATATTTTCATTAAGTGCCTGAAGTGAAAATATCTTCCATTAGGGGTCTTAGTATATATATGGTGCGGTACGGCGCACAGGGTGAGAGTACGGTGCAGTATTGTGGCACTATCGTGGTACATGGTACGGTACGTGGTACGGCACGCAGGATGAGGTCATGGTACATATGTATGGTACGGTACGGTACAGTACAGATATATTATAGCGGCACATGGCACATGGTACAATACGTGTCACACATCGCGCCCATGTATGGTTCTCAAACTTATTGTGCCAATGAACTGTACCGACTGGACTGGCTGTACCAATGTGCCGTACCAACCGTACCAACCGTACCATGTGTACCGTACCGTACCGTACCATGTTTTAAGATAGGAAAAATGGTACCGTACCAAAATAGCAGCAGAAATAGCGGCAGAATCTGCCGCTATTTCTGCTGCTATTTTGGTACGTACCAACCGTACCATGTGTACCTTACCGTACCGTACGGTACCGTACCATGTTTTAAGATAGGAAAAATGGTACATACCAACCGTACCATGTGTACCGTACCGTACCGTACCATGTTTTAAGATAGGAAAAATGGTACCGTACCAAAAATAGCAGCAGAAATGCGGCAGAATCTGCCGCTTGCCGCTATTTTGCTGCTGCTATTTGGTACTGGGTACCATTTTCCTATCTTAAAAACAGGTACGGTACCGTTCGGCTACGGTAAGAGTAACATGGTACGGTTGGTACGTTACCAAAATAGCAGCAGAAATAGCGGCAGATTCTGCCGCTATTTCTGCTGCTATTTTGGTACGGTACCATTTTTCCTATCTTAAAACATGGTACGGTACGGTACGGTACACATGGTACGGTTGGTATGTACCATTTTTCCTATCTTAAAACATGGTACGGTACGGTACGGTACACATGGTACGGTACCATTTTTCCTATCTTAAAACATGGTACGGTACGGTACGGTACACATGGTACGGTTGGTACGTACCAAAATAGCAGCAGAAATAGCGGCAGAATCTGCTGCTATTTCTGCTGCTATTTTGGTACGGTACCATTTCTCCTAT